CTCTGGATCCCAAGTCCCTTATCTATCTTTTTACAAATTAATATCTCATTAAAAAGAAACAAAATTACTTTCCCTTACACAAACTTCGACAGTTAAAGTATGTATTTTACATAAATAATCCTCTTTTGTGACCTAAAATTATGGATCCAGCCCCTAACGGATCTGTTCTCAACTACGTCGCATGCGTAACATTAAAAGTGTAAGCTTGTATGAGCACGACCTTGAATGTCTAAATCTACAAATAATATGATTATGAAACACTATCTGCACTATCTACTATTCCACACACTTTTAACCTTTTTAGGCACGCTGATAGGATGCATGATTCAGAGTGAACAGCTAAATATCAACACCGTATCGGTCTTACAAAACCGAACTCCCTACACTCTGAGCATATCACATATTGTCTCTTACTTGCGTAACCCCGCGTGACATGTCTCAGATACCCACGACTAACCATATCACACCTCTGAATGAATAAAAATTTGAATGAACGACTTATTCGCTAAAACTCTCAATGTTCTCTACAAAATAGACTACCAAAATCTTCTTTTTTAAAAATCGCGCCTGTAATACTTAACAAAAATAATAAAGAACTATAGAACAAAATTAAGTCGTACTTATTCTCAATTGTTTACAGTTATATTAGCCAACTACGTCACCCACCCCCCATATGCCCGCGGTACGCACAAAAATTTTTTTACTAACTGATATCACCCAATAAGGAAACCCTGCATAATTGAAAACTTTACTTACATAAATATCTCTTTAAAAATTGTAATCACATCTACCGATAAAAATTCAAGAAAATGCACATCTACATTCATAACGATTCTATTAATCAATTAATTTAGCTTTAAACGATAAACTATAGTATATCAATAGCATTTATGAAACTCAATAAATCCAATGATCCCAAAATGTCTTAAATTTGTAAGCTTGCCTAAGAATGTCTTCAATCAGAATTGACTTTCAGATCTTCATCGATATTATCTCTATTTTCTCACAAAAAAACTTAATAAATATTTATCACAAAATTAACGTATTTTAAATTTACATCTAATACAAAGCTAAGTCGAATTAACCGATTTTTTCAGATGTTCATACCATCTACCCTCCAGAATTTCTTACCGTCCCAATTGAAGACTAAATATTTTTAAAATGATAATTATCTACCTTAAAGTTGTATCTAAGCGACAGTCAACCTTTATTTTATCCGATCCAACCCCTTTAAGTACTATTTAATATATTTTTCAGCAGTGTAACCAATGTCTTATCTTTGACTTTACACATAGATTCAAATCCGACGCTTCTAGTGCGTCGATGTATTGTCTTCACGACGATAGCAAAGGTCCTTTCGAAAGAGGCGCTAAATTACGCTCGTCATTGTAAAGTAGCACATAGTGGCTCAAGCGCAATGGAATGATTGAAGAATTCTCCCAATACTTTTAGAACTGAATAACCGAAACTTGTAGAAAGACAAGATGAAAATGAAAGAAGATAGCACCCCGGTGTGAACGATAGGTACAAGAGAGAGTAACCCGAGAATAGCGGAAATAGTATGGACAACCGAAAGAAGTGATAGCAATAATAAAAGTTAATAGTACAAGAGAGATTGCGACGAGAAGAAAAGAAAAGGAAGAAGTACATAGAGACAGGTGGTGAACAAGACAAAAGTACAAAGTGCGAGAAAATATCAAGAATCGTAAAATGACTAAATTGATATTTAATCTTCTTCCCGTTTTATCAGCCCAGCCTGGGACCAGCTCACCTACATCATAACATGCCCGAAATCTGACACGTTCCATACACCAAAAACTTCGTACCCAATAGGTCCAGATGTAAATCTTACACGCTAATCTAGGTCATTAGTTGGCAACATCAATTCTACTAAAGCAGTATTGCTTAGCCATCTCTTCTACATAACTAGATAGACACAGATCAGCAATAAGAAGACTGTTTCTATTCTTTAGTTGACATAATAGTCAATATTTATAATCCAAACGTAGATAAAACCTGTAAACATGTTCTCTCTTCACTATAATGCTTATTAAAGAATGATCCACGTTTGTTCACTAGCACTCTAACTAAAAACATTAAGAACGGGATAATAAAATTAACTATTTGTCGATCTTATACGATAATACCAAAACGAAAAATTACACGTCAAATTTAAATAAGTATAATGAGTGACGCACAATAGGCCCATCCCTACCCATTTTAGAAATTGCTTCTCCCTGTTTAATCAACATCTTAATCTCCCCTAACTCTCAACCAGCATTCTAACACAGTCATTCTACGCATTATCATAGTCAACGCGTCGATAGTCTTTCCAAGTATATCAATTAACAAAAAAATAATCCTTATACACTCACGACTTACATTACATTTTCTCTTTGCACTAACTACTTGACCAAGCATAGGTCAATCTGCTGTTACACAAGATTAACCACCACAAAGTTTACAAGTTCCAGGTGGCCATCTTATCTCAACATAATATCATAATATGAAAACACTCATCATGCGTGTATTTAACTATTGCCAATAACTTCACATCAAGCCATTTCTCCCAACTCAGAATCTGGGCAATATGCCACTATTGCGCTGACACCCTCAATTAACCAAATCAATTTTATTCAGGTCACAGATCTTTAGCATCATACAAAATTGATTGTATTTAACAAAATTTAATATTTCTATTTCCCATTGGAAAACTTTCCCCAGCCAGCGACATAAGAAATATTTGTATGTTTTTTTTTAAATTTGAAATTTTCATCTTTAATAACTGGAATGTAGCTAATTGAGTTAAAATAGTTCTACAAATTCTTATAAAATAAACGGACAAATACGCACCTATCTAACTGCCTAATCTCAATTCATTGTCAGAAAGCCCCCCTACATTACCTAATATTTGTCTCACATGTATCCGAAAAATTCTTTGCTTTACGGCTTAATGACATCGCAATCAACTTTTAAGCAAATACTTAATTAACTTTATTGTTTTACTCTAAAAAAATTAAAATATTGCGCAGCCTGTTGACATCTACATATACCCTTTGACCGCCTTTCATGAGAAATACACATTATTCCCTTTAATGGTAACTATGTCTCATTTCCCTTGTCTTTTAAAGGACCCTGATTGAAATGCTGCTTTAATTAGTCAAAACATAATCCAACGAATAGCTATCGAAGATGTAAAAATTAAATTGTCTTTTGTGAATAAATGCACAAGTTATGTTCCCCTAAAAATTTTTCGTATTAAACTAGTCTTATATCGTTTAACTTTATTTTACCTTCTGTAATATAAATCTCCTCGACTATCTCAATATTAAAATATCGATTTTCCAAGTTGACTATATTTAACAACCACCCTAACTATTTATAATCCTCAACCCGTTTCTCAATGATAAAGGTTGAAAAAGGACCCGCTTGTCCATAAAACAAAATTCAAACCTCATCTACAATCTCACATCAAAACATCAAAAGTTCCTAACCCCGCCATAAAACAATCCGTCTTTTAATCATTGCAATACAGTATAATTATATAATCATTACTATCTATCTACATTCACATACATACATTTCTATATTTGTATTAATGTGTAAGGAATTTCTATAGCAGGATCTCTAGGGCAGGTCATATACCAACTAAATACTAGAGAAATACACGATGAATACGTAATAATATAACTTATTTATTACATAATCTTTAATATATTATTTTTCTTTTGTTATTGAAATTTATTTCTTATTTCACTACGTCACATCAGTCACACGTCAGTAAGAATCAGACCCGGAAAGTTTACTCGCCTTATCTGAGCTAGAACACACAGAAGGTACTCGCGTATTAACAAATATAATCATCAACGGGAAACCATTTAGGGTTATTTATATTCCACGCTATCGCT